CAAATGATACTTATAATTCAAATTATGATAACCCACATGCATTATCTTGCATTTATTATAATTAAAACCCATTTGCCCAACTTACTAAATGATCTAAATCCTTTTGTAAATCAGCATCTTCCTCTTCAAAGTTAGCAACATGCAAGACCTTAATATCATCTGCAAATTTAAGTAATTTATTGACCATTCCTTCATTTATGTCATTGATGTAAATCAAAAAGAGCAATGATCTTAAGACTTAGCCCTGAGGCATCCCACTTGTGACATTAATCCAGTTTGACTGAATTACATTTGAAACAACCCCCTGCTTTCTTCCATCCAGCCACTCTTCTATCCAATTTCCTAACTTATCCCCCACATCTATAGAGATCATTGTTTTACAAGCCTTTTATGTGGCACCTTCTCAAATGTTTTCTAAAAATCTAGATATAACAAATCTACACTCTTACCCTCATCTGCATAAGCAATAACATTTTCAAAGAATGTCAAAAGATTTGTAAGGCAAGATTTTCCCTTAGTGAAACCATGTTGACTATCCAATAAAATTCTAAACTTTGTTAAATGACTTTGCAAAGCATCATTTATTAAACTTTCCATTACTTCAGTCAACTACCAGGGAGGCACCTGCTCTTTGGATCTGTGCTTTCATACTCTGGACTTTTCTTCTTAGGCCTACAATTGTCATTTTCACCTTATGAAATGTCATATCCCTGGGGTTTGTATATGGTGGCAGGTGACGTAAGACTACGATGGTTATATTGTCTTGAAATCTTTACATATTCTACAGTGATTCCTGTATGCTGAATCTGAAAATGATATCCATTTTTCTCCATCATGTACAGATTTTTCACAAGAAGTCATGTCCTTTTACATAAGTGAATAATTTTTATTGAAATTGGGTCACATTTTTTATGCTTAAAATGTTAACAATCATTGGCTATAGATTTCTCTAGACCAATTGCAATGTGAAAGTCTTATTGATCATTTTAGATCTCACAAGAAACACATCACTAGTATATAAATGCTTAACAGGCCACATAACGTGCCATTTCTGGATAGTATTTGTTTGTGCTTGCACTTTGACATTATATTTTTCTTTTCAATAATATTTAGTCACCACTGTGGCAACAAGAGGTTGTGTAAATGACCCAATGATATTCTATTACATTTGTGGTAAATTTGTTGTACAGAAACAAATGCAAATCATTACAGAATTTGTCAAAAAAGCATATTACGTGTATTTTGGAATAAAATTTGGGGACCAAGACAAATCATGGGCTCTGCACAAAGTTTTCAATGCTTGTGTCAAAGAGTTGAGACAATGGACTAAAAGTAAGAAAAAGTACTTGCCTTTAGGAATTCCAATGGTCTGGCATGAGCGTAGAAACCCTGGAGATGACTGCTATTTTTGTTCATGTAATGTGCAAGGATACAACTCTCTTCAGTCTGCTATAATGGTATGAGATGCTCTAGATGCAATCCTTAAAAAAGACCACAACATGTAGTTTTGAGACTAAAAGACATAGATTTCACACAAAAATCAGGATTAATGAGGATGCTTGTTCATTTGACATCATTGTTCTTACCTTTTCTTCAGTTTGTTTATATTTTTGTTAACAAATATAATAATACAAATGTTCATTCTGGTTAACGAAATAATAATTTGATCTAAGTAAGAGTTTTTTTTTCTTCCCGATTTGTAAAAAATCTTTATGTGATAGAAAAAAATGAATATTAGCCAAATTATGGAAAATCCATTATTAAAAACAAAACTTTTGTGAAGTTTAAATTCGTAGGCATGTGTTACTTTTCTTATCCTTGAAAATATCCATCCCAGAGAGTGATCTTTACATTGTTCAATCTTCTGTTGGATTTGTTCCCATTTTGGAACCCCTTGGATCAATGCTTTTGCAACTCCCAATTTAGAGATCTTTCCACCATTCAACCTTAGTTATCTATTTTTCATGACAGAGTGTTGTGCTTTCAACTTCATGTATGGGATTTGTTCAGTCTCTTGCATAATGTATGGAATTTTCCTGCAGAGTACTCTACTTCATGTTCTCTATTATTCATGTGAGCTTTCTACTCTTTCTTTCTGTAAAAGTACATGGGCTGTCTACTTTCACTGGACCCTCTGATGCTCTTTTCAGCAAGGCCATCTTACTCCTCCACATCTTACTTTCTTGTTTACTTGGCTTTTCATCTTGATTTTTATGTTTTGTCCAGTGCAATTTACCATGGGGCATTGTCTACAACTTTGCAGCTCTTATCAGTCAACAATCCCTTCCATTTGAGTATTCCCCCTCTCCCCTGCTGGGACCTTTTTATGGCTTTTCGGGATGTTGAATTTTTGTTCCTTGCATCATTTGTCTCTCAAGATGTTTTGACATTTGTGCCTTATATGCCTCCCAGACTGTTTCCAGTTCACTCCTTTCTTCCAGAGACTTGGGCCACCTGGGAGGGTGATCAGATGTTTCTCCCATCTCTCTCCCTTCTACATTTCGACATTTTACCATCATTCTAATATTGATTGTCTTTTGTAGACTTGTCCCCTTCTGTTTTAACTGGTTAAGTTTGCCAGCTTATTCATCCCACATCTTCTTTTTGAGTGAATCTGACCTTACACTTTTTTGTGTTTTCTCCCACCAGTTTCAACATGTGACAACCTCTCTTTCCTCTTTTCATCACCTACCTTTGGGGAAGATCTTACAGGTTGGTGTGTGGATTATACATAACACATTAGTCTCACATCATTTGGTGGTTTCATATATCTCTGGTTTTTGCCTCCCTCTTGTTGCCATTCTACAGTCTAATTATAGGTCTAGTGTAGTGAGTTTTGCCTGTTATGCCATTCAGTCATCTCCATATCATTCATGTTTCCTGGCACCTCTGTGTGTGTACCATGACTTTTGTACACATTCCAACACATTGTAAGTTTCTCAACTGAAGAAAGAAGAAAAAAATGAACTGGAGGAGGCAAGACTCATCAAATCAAGTGTTACATGAGGAACTACACCATATGTTCCATATGCTTGGTGCCATTGGAACCTGCTGAGTGGCTGGTATTACCTCATGGAATACTTACCTGAAATATGCATCAAGTGAGGTTGAACAAAAAGCATTAAACACATGTGCCCCTGCTCAGTGCTGATGTTGAGATGAGGCTTTCTACAAGAGTGTTTTGGCAGTATATCTCTGCAATTGACATGGTCATTTTTGCACCTTTTATGAAAAAGAAACAAAAAACTGACAGCATCAGGTGTTGTCCTACCCTTATACGTGGCTCATGCTTGCTGTCTTTAGTCATATTAACCCATTGCACTGTCTCTTGGTGGGGATCGAATTCCAGATTATTTTGCCTGATGACAGTGGTCTATGCACACTCAGTATTTGTATTCCTCTCTCCTATTTTTCTTGTGGAGCATGGAAGAGTGCTTACTTCCCCAGTTTCAAGCTACTGAGGATGTCTATATGGAGAGTTTTCTTTGTGATAGTGCCTTTTCCTTTGTAAGAGACTGGTTGGGGCCACTCCTTGTTTGAGATCTGAGGCTAGGGTGTTTGCTGGAAGTGTAGTACAGGACACTCCATTACAGTATCTTCCAAGCAGTTCTTGATATGTCAAGCCAGGTGGGAATTGGATTTGCCTCCAGGTGCAAGTGTGAGTTCCTCCTCCCTCCACCCATCATTACAATATCCCATGTAAGTATTTCACCAAGATGGAATGGTTTAATGCCCTAACTATATATTCTCATGTTCCACCCACCTTTACAACACATTACCACTGGCAGTGGATTTACCCAGTATCATTTAGCCTGTGATGTAAATGTAATATATGAATGAATAAATAAATGAAAATAAGTTAGGTGAAGAGTATTCCAAGCTTGAGAAACATGTAATTTCCCATATGGTGCTGTTCCACTAGGCAATCTGTGGTCTTTTGCAAATCACTCCCCATGGACTTTCTCTTTCTGTTGCTTTTTAAGAAAGGAGCTCATCTTTCTAATTGTGCATTACTGACCCCTGCACCACCAGGAAGTAGAAGCCCACACTGACAATATATTTCAGATAGATAACCCTCCTTACCACCTTCCCACCCTTCCTCCTCACTTCCTTAGCTTGTCAATAGGGATTACTGTACATGAAGGTTGCTCTTCTGTTAGTAGAAAGCTACAGCATTATGACAATTATGTCATAGGCTGGTGCAAAACATGTAGACACTTGTTATAGCATGTACAGGAACTTCCATGGCAATAGTGTGCAAGGTAATGGCTCTTAGTGATGCAGAGAGGTATCTGTCTGAAATACATTTTCAGGTAAAGAAAATGTTAACTGTATTATTAATGAATACACAAATGATAAAGTGCATTAATTGTAACTGTATCCAGTAAAGTACCCATTTTTGTTTTCATGAGTTGATTTGAGGTTTGCATTGGTACAGTTTGGAAGAAAAAAGAATGTATAGAAAAAGCATTTAATCAATTATTTGTGATATTTCAGAGAGAGAGAACTTAAAATTAATCTATACACACAGGAATAAAGTATGGATAGATGTCAGACTTTCAAGCTTAACCTACTGAAATCAAAGCATTGTGGGCTACTGTCACTAGAAGATGGACCACCACCACTAGAATGGGATGGACCACCACCACTAGAGTGGGATGGACCACCACCACTAGAGTGGGACGGACCACCACCACTAGAGTTGAATGGACCACCACCACTAGAGAAGGATGAACCACCACCACCACTAGAGTTTGATGATACTTCTTTTCTAGAAATATTTTATCAAGCAGAAAGACAATGTCACCAATCAGTTGAATACAGACAAAACAATGTAAGAACACCTATAAAACAAGGATATCATCACAGTTTGTATCAGCCACATGGTCACATGTACAAATCAGTTGTAGAATCTCAACCTATGTACATAAAAGTATCTTCATCCACTTTATACCCAAACATCGAGGAGATGGGGTCAACTGAGTTTGGTAATTAATTTTGCAAAAAAGTTGTTTTTTTTTTATGTAGTAGCATGACCTGTAGGTTTTTAAATGAATTATTTTTACTGTGACTGAAACTAACCATCAATACAGTTTATGAAAGCCAACTAGAAATTTCAGGCATATTTGAAAGTCATGTTAGATTTAATTGAATGTCAGATATCACCAACTTTACAATAATGTTTATAATCTTAAGAAGTACATATGCATCATTCATATTCTTTTGAAGCAACATTGAGTAATTAGGTTAACTATATTTCATATGATCAACTTAATGTTTGTACACTGTTACTGGCATGCTAAGTAATGTTATTTTTTTATATTATTTCAGAACTTGAAATAGCCAAGGCTTATGTAATTTTCTCATTAACTTAACATGCTGATTTTTCATGTGTTCCAGTAATATATGTATGGACGGTGGTATTTACACATCTTGAAAGACGCGAGGAATGATGAGATGTTGACACAACAGTTAACAGATGGTTACCTCATAGTAGCTTTGAATTTCTGGAAAGCACAAAATAGCTTTGGCAAAACAAGTGTTTTAAAACTTTTTATTATCATGGAAATAAGTTTTAAGTGTGATTATATTACCAATCTTTAAATTATTATCTGTTAAGATTTGTAGTTTCTCTTGATGGACCTTTATTAAACTTTCTAGAGGTTAATAATAACCATACATTAAACTGATTTTACAAGATATGTTTGAAAAAAATTGCTGAATAATGTAGAGTAACTGACAGATTTCTCAAAGTAATTGAATGCAGATTTAAATGTTTTGGCAAAGAGATTATTTGCAGCATGATATTTCAAATGTTTGAAGTGCTAGTCAGAATTCAAAATGTTAAGTATGAGGGCAATATTCAGCTGAATAGGGCAGTCTTAAATAGAGCTGGGTGATTTAAATAATTCTCCATTAGCAGCAGTTACATCAATTAGTGTCATGTAAACTAATGGAAATTAATGTTTTTAATTATTCCAACTATCCAAGTAATTGAAATAATGCAATATAAGTGTACATAATAGTTGGTTAAATATAAAATGCAAACAGCCTTTGTGGAAAAGTCACATATTATGGAATTGATGTTGGTTTTCCAAGTTAATATTTATTATTTCTGTTACTAGTTGATTTATTAGAATGTTCATCTTTCCATTTACTGAGTTAATCAAGCTCTGCTTGTATAATATGGTTTCTTTACAGATGAGCCTTCCTGTATTTCAAATTATGAGAGATCTTATGATCATCAAGTGTATACCCTAGTTTTTGTAGCTAATTTTTCATATGGAACATCTCAGGTAACAAAGCTAGCTGAAGATATAGTAACTTACTAATTTGTTTGTTTTTTCTTTATGGAACATTTGTTCAAGAGACCCCTTTGGCATACTAAGCAGTTTATATGGTTACAATAAACAAATAAATTTATCATCAAAGGAAATTCCTTCATTTCCAAGAATACTGATAGACCTCTTAATTCAGAAATCCAATGTGTTTATTGGTTTTAAAAAGTATAATACATCTAAACTTTTTGCTTAATTGTAAGTTATAATATAACATAAGATGAAAGTGTATTTCATTGTAACAAGAGTATTACATGGGGAACTGTGAGTCTACTCTCTCTCTCTCTCTCTCTCTATATATATATATATATATATATATATATATAATAATTAATATATAATATATACTAACGTAGTAGTAGACTATATATACACGACACCACTA